CACATTTCATTACAATACTTTGTCTTCTCAAGTCACCCTTTGAAATCTTCTGTTCAGCTCTTTTACTTCATCATTTCTTCCATTCGCTTTAGCTACTCTATGTTCAAGAGCAAGTTTCAGAGTCTCTTCTGACATCCATTTTGGTCTTTTCTTTCTTTCCTGTCTTTTTAATGGTCTTTCGCTTTCTTCATGTATGACGTCCTTGATGTCATCCCTGGTCTTCATCTGGTCTTCAGACATTAGTGTTCAATGCGTCAAATCTATTCTTGAGATGGTCTCTAAATTCAGGTGAGATATACTCAAACTGTACTTTGGCTCTTGTGGACTTGTTTTAATTTTCTTCAGCTTCAACTTGAACTTGCATATGAGCAATTGATAGTCTGTTCTGCAGTTGGCCCCTGGCCTTGTTCTGACTGATGATATTGAGCTTTCTCCACCGTCTCTTTCCACAGATTTACTCGATCAGGTTAGTAGTCAAGCTGCAAATCATTTGTGCCACCCAGGGACCTTCTAATCTATAGCTGGAAGAACTAAAAATAGCAATATCCTTCCACTGGGGGAAATGTGGGGAGGGGATTGGGTGTGGTATAAGAAAGCTAAATCCTTATCCATAAAGCAGGACATCAGTATATGCTGTAAAAGTGGGAAGTCTACAAATAGCAGCTTACACATATTATCCAGAAATACAGAGGCAATTACCAGAAGAAACAGCTAAAAGGAGGAGGGCTGGGGGTGAGAAGGCACAGGGCAGAGCACTGGTGCTTTTTACTATAAGCTTTGGTGCTTTACTTGATTTTTCTAACTATGAGCAAGAGGTGGTAATAATGGCATGATAATGATGTCCCACTTGTTTACTGGTTCTTTACTTTCTCTCCCCCTTTTCTTCCATGGTGTCCTCTGTTTCCATTCATTTAACAAGCACATCCCGAGCACAGGCTCTGGCCCAGGATCTGTGCTGTGCAGGGTTCCCAGGTGCCTGAGCCCCACTCCCAGGCCTCAAGGACCCCCGGCCTGGCAGAGGAGACAGACTCATGTACACTGTGGGGGAACTCAGCTCTACAGGCACAAAGGGCCTCCCAGCCCAGAGAGCGGCTGTCTGCCCGGCTGGCCCTGGCTCCCAGTTTCTCTCTTGGTGCAGAGTTCCCATCCCCAGGAAGATGAGGAAGGGGCAGGCAGGAGAGGCTCGCCAGGTGAGCTTCCAGGCATGACCCCCATCTGGGTGTGAGCACAGACAGCAACTGGGTTAACAATAAAGAGGCTTAGATATAGAGGTGTAAACAATTTTAACAAGTATTAACAACTATGTGTTTTCATAATAAATCATCACAGAGTAACTCCTCATGTATCTGACATTGTCAGGGAATGAGGCATTTTCCATGTGGGAATTTTCTGGCTGACTGACTTGTACCATTGATTTGAGCAATTTGGGATCAGAATCATTCCCAGATGAATCACACTCCTCCCTGTCTCCACAGATAGAACACCAGCTGACATTCTGTAAGCCTGGAGGGACACGGGTGCATCCGCCAGCCCCCTGGATTCACAGATGGGGTTTAACCTTCTCCCAGTGACTCAGGGTCCCCACTATGAACACTTCCCATGGCGCTGGGCTGGAGCACAGGGAGGCCAACAGGGCCAGGGTGGTGTCAAAACCACTGGGATCAGAGGTTGGCCTCTGGGGTCTCTGATTTCAGCCCTGGAGGACCCAGCTGATTCCCGAAGGCTCTAGGACTCAGGGGAGGAGGAACTGGACTTGCTGCTCCCCAACATCCCCTACGCCCACACTCTGATGCCCCACCACCAGGCCTGGCCGAGCCTCCCCCTTGCAGAACCCTAGCACTGCCAGAGCTTGGGGACACAGCAAGAGACAGGCCATGTTAGGGCCGGTCAGGCCAGAGGCCACCAGCCAGGATGACTGCTCAGCCCAGAAGTCCAGTCCTAGGGAACCAAAGAAGGTACCCCAAAGGCAGAGATGGGAACTAAAGCCAAACATATTGTTGTTGTTGTTGATGGGTGTTGGTGAGTCAATTCTGACTCATAGCAACCCTGTGTGACACAGTAGAACGCCCCATAGGGTTTTCTTGGCTGTGATCTTTACCGGAGCAGATTGCCAGGTCTTTCTCCTGTGGCTCCAAATACTACCAACATGAGTCCATAACGGGGCAAAAGGTGAGCATAGATCAAAGGAAAATCTAAGGTTCCCCTCACATCCCACAATGTTTGTGCTTTAGGCTGGAAACAAAGGGCCTGAATCATTTCTAATGTGGTCCCTCAATGGATCTGTGACAGGGAATGAATACCAACATACAGAAAATATGTTAGAGGGATGGGAAGTTACCTGAAAGGTTGACCAACATATGGCCTTAGAGCTTCCTGTCCAGACCCTGAAGGAACCATGAGGAAATTGTCTACTTTTTATAATAAAAAAAAAATCAGTCACCCTTTGAAAAATCTAAGATATGTTCCCACCGAGGGTGTTTGGATTTCCAAAGTAGACGAAAATATTTAAGGACCTGAAATCTTTGAATTCTGAGAAAAGATAAAGGCTCTTTGCTTATGAGCTTATGAATGTGACTACTGACTGAAGATCATCTTTGCCCACTAAATCAGAGCTCAGCGGCGGAGTGTTTCAAACACCAATCCGATAACTGTCCCCACTCCTCTTCCCTCTGCTTAAAGCCTTCCTAAGGACTCTCTCGGATGAAGATAAAATCCAAATCCCGGTCTGCAAGGCCCCACATGGTCTGGCCCCCATCTGTCCCTCTAGCAACATGGCTTCTGTCTCTCTCTCTCACGCTGGCATTCAAGCTGCCGCAATCCTTCAGGGCCTGGGACACAGCAAGCCCTCTTGGCACAGGGCCTTTGGACAAACTGTTCCTCCATCTGGAATCCTCCTGGCCTAGTTAGCACCTATCACCCTTCAGACCCCAGCTCCAGCATCCCTTCCTCAGGGAAGCGTTGTCTGATACCCTACCACCCAGCCCAGGTCAAGTTCCCTGTCATCCCCTTGACTCCTTATTAATGTCTGCCCCCCCTGTGGGTCTGTGAGCTCCGTGAGGGCAGGGACCACGGCTGCGTGCTTGCAGAGAGCTCAGTGGGATTGGTGGGAGGGGTGAGCTGCCTGACGTGTTCATCTCTAGGCGCTAACAAAGCACACAGACCACTGGTTAATATGGGAACCATAAACAAGGCAGCTAATCCCAGCTGGGCATTTGCTCGCATCCTTGGAGCTTTCCAGCAGCTGCAAAGCTATGGAGTCTGGGTTGCTGCTGCTGGTTCCAGAAAAGAACTGCTGGGCTGTCTACTTCCACATGCCAATCTTTACAGCAACCCTTAAAAAAATAGTTGCCGTTGAGCCGATTTGGACTCATGGCGACCCCATGTGTGTCAGAGTAATACTGTGCTCCCTAGGGTTTCTAATGGCTGATTTTTTTGTAAGTAGATCACCAGGCCTTTCCTCTGAGGCACCTCTGGGTAGACTCTAACTGCCAACCTTTTGGCTAGCAGCCAAACCACCCAGGGACCCCTTAGCAACCCTTAAAAGGTACATAATACTGTCCCCACTTTTATAGGCAAGAAAGGCTCAAGAGAGATTAAGTAATTTGCATAAAGATATAGAGCTAGTAAGGCCCAGAGTCTGCTTTTGATCCAAGGTCTGACTTACTCCAGTACCAATGCTCTTTCCATTACACACATTACCTGGGGATCCTGCCACAGGCTCAAGGAGCAGTGTCCCCTGCCTGTGGGCCATTAGCAGGGGTCTCGGGACTAGTCAGGGGGCCTCATCCATGTGAGTGCTCAACGTGGCCTGATTTTGAATATCTTTCACATCCAGATACAATTGTTTTCAAGAAATACAGAACCTCTTATGATCAATACAACACAAATTCCTCTCAACCGGTTGACTAAATTCATGGCACCATATCAGGGAGGGTTAAGCACTCAGCTGCTAACCAATAGGTTAATAGTTCAAACCCACCCAATGGCTCTATGGGAAAAAGACCTGGTGAACTGCTCCTGTAAAGATTATAGCAAAAAAAAAAAAAAAAACCCTGTGGAGCAGTTTTGTTCCGTCACATGGGGTTGCTGTGAGTCGTAATTGACTCGCCAGCACCCAATGACAACATGGTAGGGAGGGAAAGCTAGGGTAAGCACACACATGGAAATGCTGAGCATTTAAGGTGCTTTTCCTCCCATAGGTTGTAAAAGAGCTATAGGTGATATATTGTTGAGTGGGGGAAAAGCATAGTTCTTTTACCATTTGTGTAAAAATTTTTAATGAATATCCACACACAGATGCTTGTTAATACATAGACTCTGAAAAGATGCACAGGCTTTGGTTCCATCTTGCCTCTAGGGAGGAGAACTGGGTGGCTGTGGGCAGAAATTTTTCACTATATACCCTTTTGTACCACTTGAATCTTGCAGCATTTAAGTAACAAAAATAAATTTTAAAAAATTAAATAAAATGTAAAAAGGTTATTGCAAGAGAGTAGCACTTAACCCAGATGACAGAATTTCAGGTAAAACACTCCTGGGCCCTCCTCTATTTCTATACACTGATGATAATCAAGGAGACATAATTGAGCGGAGGACTCAAACACTGGAGTCACCAGAGGTGACCTTGCAAACTGGGCCATTTTTCATGAAAGGCGTACAATCATCACTGCGTTCCAGCCCTCCAAGACTTTCCAAATGCCAAGTGGGCCCCAGGAAGGAGATCTCATTTTTGCTCAGTCAGAATAGACCATGCTGCCTGTGTCCCTCCACCCTGGCCCCCAACCCATGCATCGTGCACCCCACCCTGATGCCCAGCCCTGCCCCACCCCATGCATCGTGTACCCCAACCCTGACACTCAGCCCTGCCCCCATGCTTTATGTACCCCACCCTGATGCCCGGTCCTGCCCCCACATGCATCACGTACCCCCTCCCTGACGCCCAGCCCCGCCCCCACACACATCATGCACCTCCACCCTGATGCCCAGCCGGCCACACTCACATGGACAGCACCTTCACTTCCAGGATTTCGTGCCTCAGCTCCAGGCATCTCGAGGAGTTATATTCAAAAGGCCCCTTGTAAAATTCAAAGTACCTAGGAACCAACAGGGACAGAGGTTACGCAGGGAAGTAGGCCAGGCTTTGGGGGTGGAGGGAGAAGGGGACCTGTGAGGGCTCTTGGGGAGGGGTCTTTCCTGGTCAAATAAATGTAACACCCCAGCCCCACCCCACGCCAGCCGATGCCCTGGTGCAGGGGGCTCTGGAGGACCGTGGGGCCCTTGAGCCTGATGTCCCCAGGAGTGTAAGTGTTGACAGAAGAGTGAACTCATCTGAGCAAATAGTGAAATCCAGAAGCAAGTCTGGCTCCAAGTTTGCGGCTGTGAAGGAGAGGAGAAGGAAAAGGAGATGTCTGTGCGCTGTTCTCTCTCTTCCCTGTGGCCAGAGAAAGCAGAGAAATCTGCATCATTTCAGGAGGCCACGCTGGGCGTCTGGGGCTGTGTTAACTTCAGGCCTCCCGATCCTGCCCGTGCCTTTTTTATCCCACTTCCTCCTCTTGGGAAAGTGTTGTAAACTGACAGCCACAATCACAGCTGAGATTGCTACAAAACATTTTCATTTCATTCACTCACATGATTCTCAAGCGCACACTGTGATGTAGGTGAGATGAACCTTTCTTTCTCCCCATTTGGCAGCTGAGAAAACTGAGGTTAACCAGTCTGAGCCCCAGGTCATGTTGTCAGTGTAGGGAAGGGCCAGAGCTTGGCCTTCGTCCAACTGCAGAGGAGCCCAAACCCTTTCCAGAACCAGCTGGCTGCAGGCATGTTACCAACACCGTAGGGACAGGGCAATCTCTGCATCCCTTCTGCCAGCTTTATACAGAAGAATAATAATAATTTCAGCCGGCACTTACTGAGTGATCCCTTAGCACATACCCAGTGCCAGGCCATGCTACAACATGGATAAGTCTTGAAATCCTCATGCTAAGTGAAAGAAGCCAGTCGCAAAGGACACATATTGTATGATTCCATTTATATGCTATGTCCAGAATAAACAAATTCAGAAACAGAAAGTAGATTGATCACTGCCTAGGGCTAGGTGAATGGGGATGAACGGGGAGTGACTGCTAATGGGTTCAAAGTTTCTTTTTGGTGTGATGAAAATATTCTAAAATTGATTATAGTGCACAACTCTGTGGACATACTAAAAACCATTGAATTGTACACTTTAAATGGTTGAATTATAAGGCATGTGAATTACATATCAATAAAGCTGTTATTTTAAAAAAGTTAGAATGTGGCCATTGTTAAGGGGTGGAGTGGCTGCTGTAGACTGGTGTATCCAATACCTTTTCCAATACCCTCTACAATGGCCTTCCACACTACAATGGCAGGAAAGCTAAAAACTACCTTTCCCAGACTCCCTTGCAGTTGGGTTCTGGATGTGATTTAGGTTCAGTCAGAAGTATTTACATGAGAATTTGATTGTGTTCTATGAGAAGAGTGGCAATGTTCAAGGCATTGTTTTGCTGGTGCAGAATGTGACAAGGGTGGCATGCTCTTGGAGGCCGCCGTAATGGCAGCAGCTTACTGATTCTATCAGGGCAGCAACTTTCAGGGTGGCCCCATTTCACAATGCAATCTTGGGAGCATTCCTGGAAGCTCAGCTGGAGTCTTCAGTCTTCTCAACAATTCTGTGAACTAACTGTACCTTTAATAAATCCCTTTCTGCTTTAACTAGCAAAAATGGATTTTGTTAGCTGCAGCTAAGAACCTGGCCCCATGCAGAAGGTCAGCCTGGGGCCACAAATAAAGTCCATGACTTTGGATCTAACTCACATAGTTTTCCAGTCACATAGCAGTAAGTGAGGTCTGGTCGTATTACAAAGATCATTGTCTGCAACAATTTCCCTAAGTCCCTTTGGGAAGCCACTGGGTCTGCTGAAGCCAAGATTCCAGGCTGCTGCTAAGAAAAGCTCCAGATTCCAATGATGCAGAGATTATTAGGAGGGATTTATCCTAGAGTTCACATGGAGCTGGGAGACTTGCAGTCATGTCTCAGATATGCCTCTAAATCAGCTGTGTGACTTTGAGTAAATAACTTACCCTCTCTGGGCCTCATTTTTCTCCTGTTTGATAAGGGGCACTGAGTTTCTGTTAAGGGTGATGAAAAAATTTGGAAATGGAAAGTGTTGATGGTTGCACAACATGCGAACATAATTAATGTCACTGAATTGTACATGTAAAGATGGTTGAAACGGCAAATGTTTTGTTATATATATTTCACCATAACAAAAATTTTCAAACCAAGATGTATGAACTAGGTGGTTTCTAAGGTCCGTACAATTTGAAGGTTACCTCAGTGCTTCCCACTCACTCAACAAAGCCAGAACAAAACAATGAGGTGATGATCCATAACAAATAGGAAGATAGCTCAAAGGAAGCTAAAATCAAGCAGCACCTCCCCTTGGATCTCAGTCCTACGTTTCCTACATGAAGTTGGCCCTGACTCACCTTCTCTGGCCCCCACGTGGTCCCCCCATGATGACTACATTGTATTGTGCCATGTATTTGGTGTCTGTTAGGTGGCAAGGCTGTTGGAATTGGGTTCACAGCCCTTCTCTGACCTTCATTAGTGATGTTAGCCCTGTCAATTTTCTAAGCCTTAGCTTCCTCGTCTGTAAAAAAAGAGACTGGCTTAAGACACTGTCTAATCTTATAGATCTCATCAATATAACTGCAACTAACCCATCTAATTACATCATAGTGATAGGATTTACAATACATAGGGAAATCACATCAGATGACAAAATGGTAGACAATCATACAATACTGGGAATCATGACCTAGCCAAGTTTACAGATATTTTGGAGGGACACAATTCAACCCATGACACTGCCCATCAACAGATGAATGGATAAACTAATCATGGTACACACACACAATGGAACACTACACAACAATAAAGAAAAATGATGAATCCAGGAAACACCTCCCAACATGGGTGAATCTGGAGGGCATTATGCTGAGTGAAATAAGTCAATCGCAAAAGGACAAATATTGTATGAAACCATTATTATAAAACCCAAGAAAAGGTTTACACACAGAAAAAAACAATATTTGATGGTTACAAGAAAGGGAAGGATGGCAAGGGGAAATCACTAACTAGATAGTAGACAAGTGTTAACTTTGGTGAAGGGAAAGACAACACACAATATAGGGGAAGACAGGACAACTTAACCAAGGCAAAGTCATAGATACTTCCAAAACACCTTGAGGAACCTAGTTACTGGGGCTAAGGGCTGGGAACCAGGGTCTCGGGGGGACATCTAGGTCAACTGGCATAACATAGTTCCTAAAGAAAATGTTCTACATCCTACTTTGGTGAGTAGTGTCTGGGGTCTTAAAAGCTTGCAAACAGCCATCTAAGATACATCTATTGGTCCCATCCCGTCCGAAGCAAAAGAGAATGAAGAAAACCAAAGACACATGTGAAATATTAGTCCAAAGGACTAGTGGACCACAAGTACCACAGCCTCCACCAGCCTGAGCCCAGAAGAACTAGATGCTGCCCAGCAGCTACCACCACTGACTGCTCTGACAGGGATCACAACATAGGGTCCCGGACAGAACAGGAGAGAAATATAGAACAAAATTCAAATTCAAAAAAAAAGACTAGACTTACCGGTCTGACAGAGACTGGAGGAACCCCCAAGACTATGGTCCCCCAGACACCCTGCTAACTCAGAACTGAAGCCACTCCCGAAGTCCACCTTTTAGCCAAAGATTAGACAGGCCTATAAGACAAACAATAACACCCATGAGAAACGTGCTTCTCGGTTCAATCAGGTATATGAGACCAAATGGGCAACACCTGCCCAAAAGCAAGATGAGAAGGCAGGAAGGGACAGGAAAACTGAACGAATAGACACAGAGAACCTGACGTGGAAAGATAAAGGGGGAGAGTGCTGACACAATGCAGGGACTGCAACCAATGTCACAAAATAATTTGCGTATAAATTTTTGAATGATAAACTAATTTGTGCTGTAAACTTTCACCTAAAGCACAATAAAATTGGAAAAAAAAACAAACAGGCAGTACATGTGTGACAGGGTCGAGTAAGATACTGATGAGAATTTCAGGGTAAGCACTAGCACAGTGCCTGGCACACAGAAAGAGCCCAAGAAATGTTCATTCCTTCTCTCCCCCTTGTCCTGCCACAAAAGGGCACAAGCTCCAGTGGAGGGCACAGGGATGCCCAGCAAATCAAGACTTGCTCACAGCCTCCCAGCTGGTTGACGGCAGAGCTAAGTCAAGGATGAATAACTCAGGAAGTTTCTCCACCCTCTAGATTGACTGGGATCCTCCATCTGTTGCTGTTAGTAAGCCTCTCTCCTGCCAGGAAATACAGCCAGAATTCTCCTTAGAAACAAGGATAGCAAGACTTCGTTTCACGTACTTTGGACATGTTATCCGGAGGGATCAGTCCCTGCAGAAGGACATCATGCTTGGTAAAGTAGAGGGTCAGCACAAAAGAGGGAGACCCTCAATGAGATGAACTGACACAGTGGCTGCAACAATGGGCTCAAGCATAACAACGATTGTGAGGATGGTACAGGACCGGGCTGTGTTTCGTTCTATTGTACAGAGGGTCACTGTGAGTCGGAATCGACTCAATGACACCTAACAACAACAAGTTCTGCTCGGACATGGGGATGTCCTTGATCATCCCATCTCTGCTGCAGACTCCACCTGGCACCTCAACCTAGTCATTAGAACTGCTCCATGCATGGGTCTGAAGCCTCAGTTTTCCCATCTGAAAAGTGGAGCTAATAGCCCTTGCTTCATTCTCCATCCTACCTGAGCTTTTGCTTTTTGGGGTTATGCTGCTCCATCTCAAGGAGTCCCTGGGTGGCACAAACAGCTAAGCGCTTGACTATTAACCAAAAGGTTGGCAGTTCAAACCCACCCAGAGGCATTCGGAAGAAAGGCCTGGGAATCTGCTACTGAAAGGCCACAGCCTTAAAAACCCTATGGAACAGTTCTACTCTGCACACATGGGGCCACCATGAGTTGGAATCAACTTGACAGTAAATT